CCGAATTTAGTATTTTCCCATAGGCTTAACATTACGACGTAATGACCTCTAACTGACCTCAGGTCAGTGACCTCAAAAAACCCGAACTATATGTTATACAACTCGGTGAACTTAGCACATCCTGAAAGTTTGAAGGAAATCAGTCCAAAACTGTGAGTTGGACAGGTGCAAAAAGAAAATTGAAATTTGACCATGACCTTGTACCGGTTTTTCTGACCTGGTGACCTGACCCAAGGTCACCCGGACCTGAAATTTTCAGGTCATATGTAAAAAGGTTGCCCCATAGGCTGTGCCAAATTTGGCGGCGTTTTACGCTATCTTCGAAAAACCTTAGGGGGGGGTCGCATCGACCCCCCCTGCCAGGGCGAGGGTTAAACCCGCTCAACCTTTTAAATTTAGTACCAGCCTATTTTTAATTTTTAAATCTTACTCTTATTTCATTGTTATCTTGTATCATTGATGAAGGATCGCGTCTGAATATAATATATTTTTTCAATTGTTTTAGGTATGAGCAGCAGACTAATTTTCATCATGCTAATATTCTCAGTACCAGCCCAATGAGTATAAGGTCAGTGACGTAAGTTGACCTTTGATGAAATTGTGGATTTACGTCTGTTGGAATTTACAACAATGAGATTGTGTCAGCTCAACTAAATGAACACAGATACATACATAATGTTATGAATCAACCACGCTGCTCAGCTATTTCCGCAAGCAGCTGTGATTTTTCCTTATTCAGCAGCAGTGGCGGAACACTTTCAATTAAGGGGGGGGGGCACTGCCGACTTTTGGTCCCATTCTTTCCATGCAACGCCCATAGGGCTAATGTTAAAATGCCAAAATCAAAGGGGGGCACGGTGCCCCGGTGCCCTCCCCGTTCCGCCGCCTATGCTATTCAGCGATAGGCCGTAACTGCCGAGGACCTAGGTGCTGCTGACATGACTTTGCCAGTTACTGCCACTCAGGGATCACGCAACTCAAGTATCCAGCTACTTGTGAAATGCTGAGAAAATGCACACCAATGCAGCAATGCTCCAAATTTACCGAGGAACACGATGGTAGAAATTCTGCATAACTTACCGTGTAAGACCGAACACTGGCGCTAGGCGTGTGAGGTCGCAAAACGCCGACTTCCCTCAAAGATCAAAGTTGACGAGGTATTTTTACATGAAGTGTTTATATTATGATGGCACAAGTCAAGTGGTTTCCACAAAAATTGGGATCATTGCTTTATTCAAGGAGCGTCGTTAATCTTCAGTTGTCTGCCACATTTATAGATTTGCAACGGACCTAATGGCGCTTGAGAATCGTGATTAACATCCTTTCAATAAACTGATAAATATATCAGCCGAAGGCACAATAGAATTAACATTTACTATTTACTTTTTCTTATCAACCTTTATTTCAGGGCCTCCTCTAACATGTTAAATGGGGGGCGCCCCCCCCCCCCCCGCAGTCATGCCGCTGCCCCCCCCCCCCCAGTGGAGCTGAAATCGCGTCACTGGGGGGCAACGCAGTTATGCAAATCACGTAGAAAAACGAGGAAATTTCACTATAAGCTTACCAAACAAACCATCCAGACTATATCCACGATCACCACATTACAAATTTCAGTTTCCTTATATCGTCGGTTTCTTGACTACAGGTTTTTTTACAGATTCGCCTAGGATGAGCCGCGGAATGAGGTCTGACATTGCAGATTTTATAATTGAACGCCGACTGAAGCCCGAACGGGGCATCGACTTTGAGAAGGAAACAGCCCGAACGGTCGCCCTCTATAGTCTCAATCAGTTCAGTCAAGCGCTTACGGTTCAACACGGAGAAGTATTATGTTTTTTTTTTGGGGGGGAGACGGGTTTATTCTTGAAGAGGAAATTTTTATACGGTCAAATAAGAGTGCGGCTGAGCTGAGTGCACGATATAAAAAATCCAGTGTTTGGGACTAGCAGCGATAAGCCCTCTCACTTATTGAGGGCTATGATAGACCCCACCCCTAGGTTTTTTGCGAATAACTCGCATAAAAAGTAGCCCAGCGTGGCAAAAGTTTTAGAAGTATTCTCGTGATTACTTCAATTCTACATACTCCTCACTGAAAATGTAATCACCCTGTTCCCTGACCCTCATTCTCATTGACCTGTGGGCTGTTTCTTGAGTCATTTTCAGGCAAGTAGCTTTTTAGGATGGTGAGCTGTTTTCAGGCAGGTAGCTGTTAGTTTGCAGCGTTTGGGAAATCGATACCTAAGCCCTCACACTTTCTGCGGTCGGTTAGATTCCTTACGCACTGCTGTGCCGTTTAATACTTCTTTTAATAAAGGCATTTATTTCATTTTCGGAAAGGCGGAAATTTTCGTCGATTTCGGACGCTGCGGGGGATATCTACCCCAAATGTCACCCTGCCCGTGCCGGTCTTTATCCACCGATATAGGGTCTGGTGGCCTACTATTTCTTTATGTTTTTCAAAAGAAAAAGAAAAATCATGGCATCAGGGCTGTGACGAAAAATAAGTGGCATAATTCCGATGAGAAAACCGGATGTGGGGGTACCCTAGTTTTGGCTTCTGAGCCTCTGCCCCCCCCCAGTGAAAATTCCTTAGAGGAGGCCCTGCTTTATTTTACCTATTTTTTTACAAGCCAAAGAAAAATGTTTCAATGACGCTATATACATATTGGACTTTGGCCACAGTTTCAAGTCAATCTGTTTTATATAAATTCAATAAGCCCTCAGAAAACTTCTGAAAAACGTCACATCTTTTCCAACGCATCAGATAGGGGAAACCAAGACAATATGAATTAACATCCAAAACATAAGTTTGGATGTTTCCAAAACATAGGTTTCCAAAACATAAGTCTTTAAGTCTGGGTGTACCTGAATTGCAAATCACGTCGCAGCAAAATTCACAAATTCACAAATTCTCGAATCATCATCTGAACTGAGCTAGGCCTGATCAGAACTTCTGAGAAAGACCTGAACCACAATGTTCGAGGCCCCTGCGAGAGAAGAGTGATCTTATCATAAGCGGTTATAGGGCCTATAACGGTTCAGGTCTTTCTAAGAAGTTCCGTTCAGGCCTATGCTCAGTCCAGATGATGATTTGAGAAGAGTTGGATGGATCGCAACTCCCGGCCCGGAGCGGCACAGCCGTCCGGCCCGGAGCGGCACTGTCCCAGCCTGTCCCGGACCGGGTGGGCACTGTCCCAGCCTGTCCCGGACCGGGTGGGCACTGTCCCGGGCCGGGTGGGCACTGTTCCGGACCGGGTGGCACCTCCGTGTCCCAGGCCTGGTGGGCACTGTCCCGGACCGGGTGGGCACTGTTCCGGATGGGCACTGTCCCGGGCCGGGTGGGCACTGTTCCGGACCGGGTGGGCACTGTTCCGGGCCGGGTGGGCACTGTCCCGGACCGGGTGGGCACTGTCCCGGGCCGGGTGGGCACTGTTCCGGACCGGGTGGGCACTGTCCCGGACCGGGTGGCACCTCCGTGTCCCGGGCAAGTGTGGTTCCTCTGTGCTTAGTTTGTTTGACATTGCAGATAATCGACCATGTTGAACATTCTCAAGCCGACTGTGCTTCATCAGCTCTCGTCATAGGCCGGTATTGCCGCATTGGTTGCATATGACAATTTTTCAGTTTTTTTTTACGGCATCTGCGAATTTCATAGTGTACCTTACCTAAAACTACCATTATGGATATTGAATCTCCCAAGCCCTGTGTATTTAAAATGGCTCTTTGGATTTTGATGCCCAGAGCATTTGCAGTGGCGAGACTGACCGTGTTTTCTGCGTTTCAGATGAAAGGTCCTCGCTTTTTTAAACCGTCATATCGAAACAGAAAATGCCTCGAATGTGTTTCAGCTTGAAAATATTTTAATTTTCTCCTTGAGTACAGACATGCGGTTAATGGGCTCCAAATAAGAGTAAAAAGTCTTAGTTTTGCATGCATGATACAGGCACCCGTTTTCCAGCCTGAGCAGGCGGTCACCGGTGACTTTGAACGCTGTCCTAGTTCAACTGTCTTCCTGACTATCTGGGAGAGCTGTCCCGGCAGAGAGCCGATCCGCGTCTCGGCGGCGCCCGCGGCCGTATACCCCGCTCCTCTCACCAGCAGGGGATGTGAACGAACACTGGGCGGCAGGAGGAGACGGCGTGGCGCCGGCTGTATACCCGGTCCGGTCCGGTCCGCCGTCTCACCCGAACCCCGCGCGGCCGCGCCGTCCGACCGACCGACCCCCGCGCCGGCCGGCCGCCCCGCGCCGCCGGGTTTCCGGGCAGTGTTGTGACAGTTTTTGTAGATGGCCCAGCGAACACCGGAAGTGTCCAGATGACACTCGCAGCTAGAAAAAGGTCTCCAAACAAACACACGTATCTCAAGTGTCCGTGGCGCGTCGCTTTTAAATGGTGATCTGCGATCTGTTCTAGTTTGTCATTTGTCTCACGTAATAGTGTTGTGCTAACTTTGAAGTTCGCGTGGGAGGCGGAAAGCTGCGCGTTTTATCTTGCGAGGTCGTGGCGAGAATTCATGGGTAACGTTTGGTTAAAGTTGTTCTGTGATAAACTTGATGGATTTCGACTAACACGAGCCGAATCGGTGGCATACTCGTAAGAAAATACTCTGAACGGTTGTACAATATTTTTGTTAAATGCGTTTAGCTTTTCCTAGCATAATGTTGAAAAGCTGCAAATGCCGGTAGCTGCAACGCTGCAACTCATGCGAGAGCAGAACTGCTGAGCTGCTTTTCTTCTCCGTAATTGTGTTTCTTTTTTTAATAGCTTTGTTTCCAACGCCTTGTGCATGCTTTCACGGCCATGATAATATTGATTCTTTTAATTATGAAAGACTAATTCTGCGGGAAACATAAGAACATTTTTTACTTTTCAAAGGTTGTATGATTTCCCTGCAGAGCTCGTCCCCAATAATAGAGAATAATTACAAAATCGCACCGCGCTTACCATAGAACAACTCTGTGAGCTACTCTAACACCTCTATCACCCCGGGGCGGGTCTCACCTTCGATGCTCCTCAGAGTTGAGTTGCAGCCGGACCAGTCAGTGTAGCAGCAGTCCTGCTGCTGTTGGCTGACGGCGCCGGCCGCCGGGGTCAGGTCAGCCGCGCACTGGGACAGCGCAGCCGCCGAGAACGCGCCCACCGGCGGCGGCGAGCTCATGACGGTGGCGGCGACTCCGATCAGCAGGGCTCCGAGCCAGCCGGCCCGCGGCGGCCGATCATAGCGACCCGCCGACACACAGCGGCCGTCGACAGACAACGCGTCACCGACCGATCACCTGAGCGTCACCCGATCCGGACCACCTTATCGTCAATAATCACCTGGGCGTCAGCGATCACCTGACTGTCACCGGGTAATCACCTGATCGTCACCTGATGAGCACCGCCACACTGCCCCCCGGGCCTCACTCAGCCGATCTCACAGCGCACTCGGTCCACAAAAACACGCCGATTGAATCATCCACCCGAGAGCGACTGACGCTAATAAAACGCTGCCGTCAGCGGTGCCGACGCGCGCTGCCTCATGAAATGTTCACACGTCGGTGGCGCCCGCTAATGCCCCTCGACAGGCGGCGGCCGCTCACTGAAAGGCAGACTCCGTCGTCACGGTTCAGAGCAGGGGGCGGGGCCGAGCCGACGGCCGCCAATGGACGCGTCCCCGCGGCCGCCGACAGCAGCCAATCAGCGGCCGCGCCGCGCAGCCCGGTGGGCGGGGCCACCGCGTGTGTCACTCATCGGCCCAGGAGCAACAAACTCATAACTGGGGCCCAAACAGGAGATAACGGGCCGACGGGGCGCCGCCGACCTCTGCCGACGCGCCGTCCGACGGACCCGATGTCTCTGTCTCCGGGAGTGTCGTCTCCGCGAAACACGGCCAGTGGGGAGGGGAGACGCGCTGTCATTTGTGCGCGCCGCTCACCGTCCGGCGCCGCGGGGCCAGCGGTGCCAAACTCGGCCCCCGGGGGACGGGATTAGAGCCGCGCCCGTCCGTCGTCACCCAGTCGTCTCGGCAGGCAGTCCAAATAAATTTGAAACTGAGCGGCTCGTGGTCGAGCTGTATGGGGACGCGGTATGTCCATCGTCTGAGCTCTCGGGGTGAAGGGTGCCGCACATTGTCACCGACATAACCAGTCAGCGTTTTTTTTTTTTTTTGTAAAGCCTTTGTGTCGCTGTTATACACGTTCCTTCAATTCACCTGACGCAGTAGAAGGCAGAGGGCATTTAAATATGGCCCTAGGGACCAAGATGGAGGGAGAATATCAGCTGCTGAAGCCCATGAGGTATGTACACACGCAGTCAGTTTCCAGTTGCCGATTCGGCCTCCACCGGGTCCCATTTCCTACCACATCCTCATTTTGGCTGTATAATCTGGGTCCGGCCATTCCTGATGTCTGAAATCGGCTGGGAAGATTAAACACATTTAACAGGCTCTGTAGGTATTTCAGAGCCTGTTAGAGGAGAGAGTTTGTGTGGTGGCAGTGTTAGTAAGAGCAGTGGCTCTAAGATCTGGGAATTTGTGAAAGCGGCGAGCGGAGGCCGTGAGCTGAAGAGAAAAATATCTGCCGGTGTGCTGACCGCTATGATCGGTGCCGCTGGTGGATGGGTGGCTGCCGCGAGTATCCCCGCCAAGGGCATGTTTGAAGTGTAAGCTGATTAATAGCTCTTTATTGTTGAGCTACCTATTCGCCGACAATAAAAATGAAAATAATTACCCCTCAGATTAGTGCAAAATATTTTTTTGACAAATGTTTGCAGCTCGATGCTGAGAGTTGAGACAGGAGTCACCTTATGGGCAAAAGGGTCCCCGCCTCAATCCGCCTCCGTCCGCGCTGACCGCTGACCATGCCTGGCTTACCAGCGCATGATGTGGCGCCGTTTCGCAGGGATAGCCCCACCGAGGTGAGAGCGGCGCGGGCGCGGCCGACACGGGCGGAGAGCAGCCGTGCGTCTCTCCGCGGAACACATGACTCTGTCGTGTCGTCTCACTTGCGCTCCTGCGGTAACTCATGTCCACTTCTGATAGCAATCGGTTGTTGCTACAGATCTTATCGTAGAATGGTACTTACCATCTTGGCCAGGTGGGTCTCTAAATTCTACTAGTGTGGGATAAAGAGAACCGTTCGGCGAAACCGGCAGCCCGGTTTCAGACGCGTCATAGGCCAGTGGGCCCGGCCACTGTTCGTTCACTTGTACTATGTTCAATCTGCAGAGGCTGACAAGTTTCGCACACATTGACTGTGTTGGTGCGTATGTGTTTGGTAGAGTATTTTTCTTTTTTTCTGCTCCGCCAGCCCAAAGCCAGTCTGGAGCCGAGGATCATTACATCTGGCAGTTTTGGCCAGGAACTAAGTTTTACGCTAAGCCGGTTTATGTGAACCCGAAAGCAATAGCAACGTGGGAGCCTAGCCTTAGCATGTGTGAGTAAATCTAATGATAGTGCTTACTCCTAGCCGAAGTGCCGAAAAGGCCGGAACAAAACACAGACATATAGAGACACGATTCCATTAAATTACATTACGTGACATATTCATACACTTGTGAAATGGTGTCAGACTCAGTGTACTGGTTTGTGATGTGTTTGTTTAGGAAAAATCCTAAATAACAAAAAAAAAACTGACGCCTATTGTAAAGGGGAAAAACCCCGCGCCGAGGCCAAAGAGCGTAGTGAAAAACTTCAATTGTTTAATCTAATGCGAAGAGGGTGTAAGAGGAGGGAGGATGGGGAGGATGTGGGGGAGGCCCTCCTCGTGTTGGGGAGTGTGCCCGGCGACCAACGGCGTAAATGCCTTGGCCGCCAGTTGGCGTTGGCTCTCAATGACTCCGCCTTGGCGGGTCGGAGAGCGCAATAGACATAGAGGGCCGCCAGTTACACATAGTGCAATGCACGAAACATCTATGATTGCAAGAGAACAAGCAAGAAAGCAATCAAAAGGAACAGGAAAATGGAGAGAACCGATAGTGTTTCAGGGTGCACGAGTAAGGAACTGCGCGCCGCGTTACTATATAGGCCCGCCATGTGTCTATAGATTATACCTAATGCAGATACCTAATGTTGGTGTGTGGAAGGTCATTCTTCATCTCCATGACGCTCGCCTGGTGTAAATAAGGGTCCAACAGCTTAGCCATTGCCCGTATTGGCCTTTTAACAGCGTCTTACGTATGGGGGTCCGTTAAACCCCCTCCCCCTTGCCGTTTGGCCCCTGATTGAGCTAGAGCTTCGCGGAAATACGAGCGTGCTGCCAGTGACGAGAGAAAGTCGATGATGCCAGATGGTTAGGTCCTAGGTCATTAGTCGACCTTCCAGGGTAGGTCAATGACCCAAAGGTCTGGAAAATCGGGGCCTGGTAGAAATTCGTGATGTTGTAATGGGATTTTACGGGTCCTGATTACGAATAAGATGTTGGTTTTGAGCAAAGATGATGTATTCATGCAATTAGGGGGGTCAGGTAAGGCCAGGTCAGGTCAAGTCAATCAGTAGATCGAATCACGATTTTGGCTTGACATGATCTCGAGGAACTCAAACAGGTCACAGGATAACCCTTGCCGGCCGAGGGGGAGGCGGATGCCCCCCCTTTCATAGTTTTTTTTTTTCGCAATAGCTCCGAACACGCCAGCGATAATAGAGAGCTGAAACTTGACATACCTGACCTTTGATTCAAGCCGGATCTTTTGACACCAACAGCATTTTCGGTTCAGGTCAGGTCACTGACCTATGGCGTCATAAGTGAACCTCTGCACGGTCTTCAGATGTCGCAAATTCGCAACGCCCTCAGTGCCACAGGAGCTTTCACAGGGAGATGAAGGTTACAGCCCTAGTAGGATCCTCCCTCCAAAGGACTAAAAACTTTTATGTCTGGGATTTTTCTTAACCCTCGCCCGCACATGCCATTTTCCCATCCTAGAACGCACATGGGGGGGGGGGGGTTGCCACCCCCCCGCGCCATTTCGTTCCTGTTGGAGATAGAGCTTAGCGGTAAAGACCAAAAAGATTCTTTGGGAAGAGACGAATCCAATGATACCCAGTTTTACCTTCTCAGGTCAGTCATTGACCTTCCAGGTCAGATCAAACTAAAGAATGTTGCTGTTTTGGGTCACCGTTGGATATCAAGTGCGCTGCTTATCATATACCGATGACGATGCCGTTTTCTGGTGCCAAGCCAGCTAGAACCTCTTTGTCACACTACCCGACCAGAAATTTGCTGCTGAGGTCATTTCAGGTCAAGCTAGGTCAAGGTCAATTATATGTGTTTGTATGTCTGTGTGTGTCTGTGTGTATACTGATGTGTGCAACGATTGTTTATGTGTCCATATTACATGAAATCATGATCTGAGAAGCTTTTACCAAAAATGCAGTCAAAAAACTTCACAAAAAGTAAATTCAGCTTGCCTAAAACGCAATTATCCTAGATGACCTAGGTTGACCTTGACCCTGACCTTGACACCTGTACCTACATCGTCGAACAACATGTTCCATGATAGGTGGGAGGTAAGACTGGCAAAAAAGGCCGAAATCAAGGTGTCAAAAGCCCACAATGCCCATAGCAAACGCAAGATGTTGAGAATTGGCCATTTGGGTCATGACATGACCTGAAAAACAAGGTCATATCTCCGAAACCAAAAATCACAGAATTTTGAAATTTTCAGTGGAAATCAAGAAAGGATAGAGAAGCAGCTATACGAAAAATCAGCTTTCTAGCTCTAAAAATGTCGAGTGCAGAGCAGAAAGACTACCTGGGGGGTGGCAACCACCCCCCCCCCCATGTGCGGGCGAGGGTTAAAGGTCACGTTAGGTCAGTTCGGTCACGTGACCTCACCATTAAGTCAATGGGGAAAAATGAAAACTACTATTTTAGCGCCGGGAACGATCTCAAACTATCTCAAGCACATACCTATAGGTAATCATGATTTCTTGCACTCATTGCAAGGTTCGATGCTTCACTTTTGCATTGTTTAACTTGCGTGACGTCAGTTATGGCGTCACTATGGTCATAAGAGTTTTTCGTCAATAACCCCTGATCAAATGAAAGTGACCATCCCACCTTAACGTTAGTTTTGAGTTGAGATAGCCAAATTGGGGTCCCTGGCCCGCAATTACTGGTTTGGGCACTTCAACATCGAAAATGCTTTAACCCTCGCGGGCCCGGGGGGGGGGGCGTTTTTCGCCCCCCCCCCCCTGGCGAATATTTGCGATAGCTCCCGAACGCTTAGGGATAGGAAAGCGAAACTTTCAGTACCTTTTCTCCAATCAATTTGACATCTTCTGAAGTAAAAAAAATTGGACCTAGCCCCCTTGATGACGTCACAGGGTCGATTTTTCTAGACCCCTGCACGGCAAACTTCGGCGTCACAGACGCAAACTTCAAATAGCTGCTAAAAATAGAGTTTTAGAGATAAAGACAAATTACGAGCACGGTTGTGTAGCGTTTGACCTAGAGAAAAATAGAAAAATGGTTTTGGTGACCTGAGGTCAGATGTCAGGTCAACGACCCCGAAATGTGGTTTTAGTTTTTCGCAAAAAAACTTCGACAAAAATGGTCCAAGAGCTTCGGCAGTGGTACCATCGCATTCGCCTTGTCAAGCCGCGTCGAAT